GAATCCTTTTTTGCTTCCTTAATGTAGTTTTAAGTCCCTTTTTCTACCACTTCCCTAGGGAAACTAGGAACCTGTATCAATTACATCTAGGCTAAGTACAGATAGTCAAAAAGGTGGAAGCAGTCTAAGTTTCATGCTTTACTCTAAGTGCCCTAGGTTAGGTCAGGAGTGAACAGAACAGACATTCAGCCTTTGGTGGATGGGGCTGCCAAGCCCAGGCTAGCTGCCAGTCACCCTTGATGGGCCACCGTAAACCCTCTCTCCAGCCCCTCCCCCAACCATTGGCCAGCTGTCAGTGGTGGCAAGGGGCAGGGGGGAATGGAGGCTTCTTCCCTAGCCCCAGCAGACCTGAGCTAGCACAGTTGGGGGAGCCTGCCTGAAAGGGGCTTTCCCCCCACTGCCTGGCTCAGCTTGCCAGCACAGCTCCTCTATACAGCCATGCCCCCCTGCCAGTAGCCAGCTGTCAGCAGCAGCAGCAGCAGCAGGGGCAGAAGCCCCTGCTGTGCAGACCCAGCCCCAAAGACTTGAGCCAGCACAGCTGGGTGGGGGGTACTGTGTGGAGAGTGCTTCTCCCTTCCCACAGCCTGGCCCAGCTGGCCAATGCAACCCTAGGTCTGGCCACCCACCTGTGGCCAGCTATCAGTGGCAGTGGGGGGCAGGGAGAAGAAGAGATCCCTTCTTCTTCAGCCCCACCCCCATTGTGCTGGCTCAGGTCTCCAGGAACCAGATCAACATGGCAGGGGCCTATGCTCCCCACCTTCCTCCCCCACTGCTGCTGACAACCAGCCAGGAGGGTGGCGCTGGAGAAAGGAGCCACACTGGCCAGCTGGACCAGGGAGCCCCTGCCTCATAGCCCTCCCCACCTGGACTGGCTTGGACTGGGACCAGGGCCAGCTGGACCCAGTCCCCTTCCTCCCCCCCCCTCCACTGCCCCTAGTCCCACCACCTGCCAGCAGCTGGCTCTGTAAGAACCTGTTCAGCTGGAGCAGATGAGTGCAGGTAAGACACTACTGTGTGAGGGAAGGTTAGTGGGGTCTTGCAAAGCAGCCTGGGATACCAGGGGACTCCGGTCTAACTTGAGTTCCTAGGGGATCTGGTACAGAAGTTTGATAAACTGATCTAACCTAAATTGCTTAAGTCTCATTCTACACCCATCCTGGTCTACCTTAGACTGTGTTCTGCCATTTTTAAACTAGTCTATATGCGCTGCATTTCTGTACTGTTATGGATTTAGATTGGGTTTTGGTCAATTATACAGTTTCTTTGTAAAGTCTGTACCTGTCCCTAGGTATAATTCTGGGGAAATTAGTAAATGTATTTTAAAAAATACAATTTCTGGGAGTCAAAATTATTCACAGATTCAGTTCAAATCTGGTGCGTAGGTTTGACCAAAAAAATTAAGAAAAAATCAGAAAATTAAAATTCTTTCATTTGACACAGTTCAATCCTCATCCATTTTGAAACAATATTTTTGCTTTGAAATGTTGAACAAAATGTTTGCATTATGTTCAGGTAAAAAGGGAGACAGTATAACAGTACAGAGATAAATAAAACAAAATGTTATGAGACAAATGTAACATATTCAGCAGAAATAAGCCACATATGTATTTCTGGCCACCGAAAACCAAAACATAACAAGACATTGTTTACGCAACTATTCACTATGCATTCAAATGTTCTTATGCATAGTGTTACACTCTGACTTCTCTCTTTCTCTTACTCGGAATATAAATTCCTTGAGGCAGAGACTGTCATGTTCTGTATAGTGGCAATTACAACACACAGGCCAAAATTCTCCTCAGTGTGAAATAAAGGCAAACCTAGTGAGCTAGGTACAAATGTTTCAGATTTATACAAACACAAGGTAACAACATTTCTCTCTGGTTATTCAATATATAAATAAGGAATAATTAAAACATAAGATTTACTAGGAAAATGAATAACATGTAATTGTATAAGTGTATATTTGTGGGTGCATCTACACAAATGCTACGTAGCCACAGCAACATGCTACAGCAACATAATGTCAGTAGGCAAAAACCATAATGCTGCAGCTATGTCGCCATAGTGATGCATTCCCTAGCAATAGCATATTGGCTAAAAATAATTCCTCCGCCTGCACGGTGCAGTAACAGCTGTTACTGCGCTATCATATAGAACTTCCTACAGGAAGTACTAAATTACAGTACAGTTACAACAGCACCATAGGGGCACATGTAGATGTGCTCAGCATGTAGCACAATACTTGCATCTCAGGAAAAGCTTAGAGGAAGGACAAGGGATACTGAAAGTAGAGGAATGAAAAAAGCTACTTATATGTTGTATCAAAGAAAAGCATTAAGGTCATATTTGTAGAAAAGATGGAGAAAAATATCAATAGAACAACTATGAAGCAAAGATGAAAAAAATATAGGAAGAAGAATGTGAAGGAGGTTACAGACGGAAGAGAAAAAATAGTATGGATGAGAGGTAAAGATTAAAGCAGGATTATAATTGATTGAGGTGACTTAGGGAGAGACAAACAAGAGAATAATATGTGTCCTGACTGTAATGGAGCTGCCTTTTGGTTACAGGCTGAAAAACAGAAAGCACAGCATTCAGGCAAGCTACTTCATGTCTACCTAGAGTTTTCATGACAAACTATTTTACAAATGGGGTTTAGGATAAAATAAGAAAGACCATTAGTTCATATTTAAAATTGAACCAGGACTATTTCTTATTTTACAGCCTTATTCATTCCCATTTGGGTCTGCTTCTGCACTTGATATCTTTGGGAACAAAATCTAACATGCTGAAATACTATTAAAAGCTCTTTCCTTTAGTATCTTCAGTCCAACTTTTCAGACCAAAGAAGCTCAGCAAGCATTAGCTCTGCAAGTGCCTATTAGTGCACCTTTTTTGTCCAGTAAAGCATAAGAAGCAGGTTAGAAAGGGACATAAATATATACTGAAGATTTTGAAGAAAAAAATCCCTCTGATTCACTTCACTAGTGGAACAAACTCTAAAAGTGTAAAGATGTATACATAAAAATGGACATTATGATGACACGTATTATGGTACATATAGATTTCTCTTTTTACTGTTTTTTTCTGTTTTTCAGTTTAATTCCAAAGTACATGTTTCCCCTTTAAATTATTAGTCTACAGAGCTCATGGATTGATCTTTACATAGCGAGTGATACCTTGTGAAAATCAATAAGATCTGTGAGTGTTGCATGCCGATTGGGATCTACCCCCAGGAAGCTGTAGAAATCCCCTGAAGCATCCACCAGAAAGTGCTTGAATCCACTCTGTTGGCGATAAGACAAGGCGTAGCCCCAGATTTTCTCACTGACTCGTACCAGGAATGCTCCTTCAGACTTGTTCATTAGCAACTCTTCAGCCTCCTGGCGGCTAATAATACCTGACAAGAAGAAAAAAAATATATAGTGGTGGATGATAGGCCTTGGAAAATTTTAGTTTTCTGAACAAGCCACAGATGCTGACACAAATCTCATTCTCAAGAACAGTGGTACACATTTCCGTTACTACTCTATTTTTGAGTAGACAACATTATTTTTCATGAAGTTTGTCGGGGGAATAAGTGGGTAGGTATATTTCTTTGCAATGGTCTCATATTTACCATAGTGATGATATAGACAGATCCTTAAAAAAATAAAATAAAACAGATCTATGCCGAAGACTACAAATGAAGCTATAATGAATAAAGCCTCTCAAATGCTGAAATGCAGATAGAGGGATGTTGTGTTAAGAGATTACTGATTACTGTTTATAAGAGTCAGTAATTATTAGCCATCTTTGAAGAAAAGCTATGAAAGAGTTTTGATAGAATACTGTAAGCTTCAGTTGTTAATAATTTGGTTACTTATTACTATTTTCATCTTATGTTATTTGTCACATTTTACCTGTCCTCACTTTTCTAGTACGGCTGCACAAATAAAACTGATGGATAAATGAATGATTTATGGATATTATTACTATTATTTTCAATAATGATCTAATTTAGCAACAAGAAATATACCTTTGATCTGATCATCCCAAAGTTGTTTTATAGTTATTAAGATACACAAAATCAGTGCCAGAAGTTCTATGTGTGCTATTATAAAAGGGTAAAATGGGCTACAATCAGACATCTCATTTATCCCAGGAAAAAACACTGTGAAGTGCAATCATTCAGATGTCCATTGTCCTGGGAAAAATTCTAAAAAAGTTTGAGATAAGAAGTGCTAATGGTTTGTCCTGGGATATCACAAAGTGTGTCTGAACAGCTGTCCTGGGATTGCAGCATTGAATTCATGGCAGAAAAGTGGCAAAGAATTCAGCTGCTCACTATACCCTGATTGGAAGGGTGATGTGTAGACATGCCAATCCTGGCACTTTTCTGTTCTAGGACAAAGATAGGCACAACTTGTCCTGGGATAAATGCAAGGTCTGTTCCTAACATTGAAGTACAGTGAAGTTAAATGAATTGCCAGGGGTTATATAGCAAATGAGTGGAAGAGTTGAGAGGAGAACACTTACTTGCGGTCATTTCTTGGGAACATTCCTATTGAGGTAGAAGGGAATTGAAGATCAGCATCCCTTCACTTTTCTCTGCTTTTAGATTAAGATCCCAGTTTGATGAACCTCTCTGATTACTGTTATCTCTGAAGACACAAGGAAAAAATTCTCCAAAGCATAGAGAGTAGCTTTGTGCCAAATTTGTTACCCAAAAATGAGTTAAGTTGTGAGACAGAAATGTATTACCTACTGACACTAAACTGCTCCTTTCCTAGAGCAGGAGAGTGAAAGATTGTCCCAGGAGGTGCAATATTTCCAGCACTATGCTTAGTTGCATGATAGATTACTTCCCTTGTGAGATTTCAAACCCACCAAGAAGACTAAAATAAAGGGGGGATAAATGTCCAAAGCTGTTTGGTAACTTGCACATTTTACATCTCTAGAGAGTTTTTATGATGTATTTTGTTCCACTCAGTTTGGAGAAATACTCACTTTCTTTAGAAAACAAAGGACCCTTATAATCTCAAACAGAAGCCCAGAAGTGATACTCGTTGGCTCATGAGATGGCACTTCTGTATGTGGACAAATGGTGAGATTAGGACTGGCCACATAGCTGAACTATTCCCTTTGCCTTCCACTTTGGGAATCTGGCTCAAGTTTGTCCTGAGGAACTACATACCAAATGAACTTGCTTCAAAAAAAATAAATAAATGCTGAATTAAACAATCCTGAAGAAAACCATGTAACAAAGTAAAGTATTAACATCTAATGCATGTGGATATCTCAACTCTCTTCTCTGGGAACAATGATGCCCACTTGGAACAATTTTCCAAACATTCTCAAACCATCAGGTGTCAGTTGAAAAAGGGAACAATGTATGATGATTAGAGAGCCATGCAGTAAAGTGTATTAGAAAGACTGTCACCAAGGCTGCACTTCATGCAGTCTCATGGAAATATTTTTATGTCATTACAGAATGCCACAGACACTTTGTGGCTCCTTGGAGAGGTGTAAATGTGGTGTTACCCCTCCTTTTTGCCCCACCAACCAAATGAGTGGTGTGGAGTCAGTCCATGGATCTGGTGCAAGCCAGACTGAGCACACATGTAAAAGAGCAGACCCACCACCCTAGCCTAGCCCCGGCCCCAGGCCCAGCCCCATGTGTTCCAGATCAGGCCCACCACCCCAACCCTGTGCATGCCAGATTGGGCCTGCCACCCCAGCCCCAGCCCTACACACACCTGCCATATCCCATATATGAGGCCCTGTCATCTAGCCTGCAGGGCTTGGGAATTTGGCAGTGGTGGAGTGGAGGTAGCATTAATTAACATAATCTACTTAGACTTCAAAAAAGCTTTTGACTTGGTCTCTCATGAAGTCCTCATGAGGAAACTGGGGAACTGCCGCCTCAACAAACTCATGGTCCAATGGCTCGGGAACTGGCTCCGTGGTCAGGTCCAGAGGGTGGTAGTCAGTGGAACTGTGTCAACATGGTGCATGGTGACCAGTGGCACCCTGCAGGGCTCTGTATTTGGACCAGTACTTTTTAACATTTTTATAAAAAATCTGGACTCAGGTATCAGAAGTGGACTGGCTAAATTCACTGATGATACCAAACTAAGGGGAAGTGTGGTCACACTAGAGGATAGGCTGGCAATTCAGGCCAACCTGGACAGGCTTGCAAGGTGGGCGGACCAAAACCTGATGGCATTCAACACTGAGAAATGCAAGGTGCTCCACCTCAGGAAAAACTTCCACATCACACCTATAGGCTCGGCAGTGCTACACTTGCTAGCACCATGACCAAAAGGAACTTGGGGGTCATGACTGACCACAAGACGAACATGAGCCACCAATGCAATGCCACAGCTGGCAAAGCAAACAAAACCTTGGCTTGCATCTATTGATGCATTTCAAGCAAGACCCAGGAAGTCATCCTCCCATTGTACTTGGCCTTGGTGTGGCTGCAGTTGGAGTACTGCATCCAGTTCTGGCTTCTGCACTTTAGGAAGGATGTGGAGAAGCTTGAGAGATTCCAGAGAAGAACCATGTGCATGATCAAAAGACAAGAGAACAAGTCTTCTGAGGAAAGGCTGAGAGACATGGGACTCTTCAGCCTGGAAAAGTGAAGGCTCGGGGGGATTTGGTGGTGGCCTATAAATATAGGGGTGCGCACCAGGAACTGGGAAAATGTTTGTTCACCAGGGCACCCTAAGGGAACACAAGTTCCAACAGTCACAAACTCCAGGAAGACCATTTTAGACTGGACATAAGGAAAAACTTCTTTATCGTCCAAGTTCCCAAAGTCTGGAACAGACTCCCCACAGAAGTGGTGCAAGCACCTACTCTGGACTCCTTTAAAGCACGTTTGGATGCTTATCTTGCTGGGATCATTTGACCCCAGCAGACTTCCTGATGAGGGCTGGACCTGATGCTCTTGTGAGGTCCCTTCCAGCCCTAATGTCTATGAAATCTATGAAATTGCCACTACTTCCCCCACCACCAAATTTCTGGACCCCCCTGGACTGGATCACATGGCTCTGGAGGCTGCATCTGGCCAATGGACTGGGGGTTGAGCAGCTCTTCTATAGTTCACATTCAAATAAGGTTATAACTCAAATGAATGAGGCCACAGTAAGAAGTACTGTCTCCCTTTTGAGGGGGCACTGTACCTTGTTTTTATCAGACATACAAAACAAGCAGTAAGCATATGAATATATGCATGTGTTTAGAAATGGCAGTCAAATGATCAACTATAGATGTCAATTAATTCATTTCACAAAACCAAAAGCATATTGTTGAGGAAGAGGAAATAGTGCTGGAAATGCTCCTATCCAAATTGTTAACAATAAGTGTTGCCGATCAGTTCAAAGGAAAGATCATGACAGTATGAACCCATGTTATTATGTAAAGCTGCATTATTAGATTTTTAATATCAGATACTGTGTGCCAAGAATCACATGAAATGGATTGTGAAATCAGAGTATTTATTAAGGCACACATCCAAATCTCTATAAAATTGCCCTAATTTGAATATACAAACAAAAGGATTTAACAGTGATTACACTGCACATCCTCTTTCAAACAGTTACCTCTATTAGAAAATATACAGATCTAATGCTCTTGTCATAATTTCACAGCACATAATATTCCAGTGACAGACAGAAGTTTATTCTGCTACCAGGCTCTCCAGTAACTCTCCAATGACTATACATTGCTGGAACTAAGTCACTACGCTTATAAAATGTGTCTGTGAGAGCAGCAGAGGTTTTGGTTAAGCTGTCTCTGACTAACATAGACCTACTTAGGACCCTGTTAGCATTCAACAAGAACTGGCAATCTGACAGCTTTAAAGCACGGGAAAGTAAGATGTTCTGTAGAGAACAATAAAATGAGGATATTTTAGGATCTGAGTGACCATCACTATTAGACATATAGCACCAAATATGTTTAGCATCAGTTTGTTTAATCCAAAACAATCTGTCATGCTGCTTCTAACTCCCACCAGTGGAGTAAAAACACTGCAGGCTTCCACATGACACTATCTTCTTTGCCAAAGCTTCCTTTTGTTCTTTGGCCCCTATGTCATTGAGTAAGTGAGAAATGCTACATTGCCTATGGCCAAGTTCTTTTTTGTTTTAATTCTCCTTCCTCCTAAAGATGGTATAATAAATTATCAGCCAGCTGCTTTCTTCACTCCCTCTCCTGATACTGTTAATAGCTCTGAGAACTTCATCTTTATTTCTTACCTCAATCTTATTTTATTTTTTTAAGGTTCAGTTTTTCACCATTTGGTAATTAAAGCCATGAAAATCTCCCTCCACCCTTTCAAAACATTATACTATTCTCAAGGCAACAAGAAAGAGAGTGGCACCACTCACTCCTGAGACCACTGTTGTGAAA